AACAGGAAGGTCACATTGCTTTGCTCTCCGGTTGCTTGAAACGAAGTTCTGGGGTACTCTCAATAAACCCGTAAGGGTTTCTGTATGACGATGAAACCTGTTTTTTTGTGCTTTTTCAGGCAGAATTTCAACTGTGTGTTTCTTGGGCATTCTTAATCATTGTTTGGAGCTGTCATCTTGGCCATATTTGTGGTTAGGGACATTCGTAAAGAGGAAGTGGTCCCAGAGTTCAGATAAAATCCTGTGTTATATGGGTTGTGTGAACTCAATTTGACTACTTGACATTTTGAGTCTAAAGAATCTTTCAATTTCTCAGACTCTGGCAGGAGTAAGAGAACATCTTGGATGTTTATAAACTCCAATGACCTCTTTAATCCTCCCCACTTGGAGGAATAGTTAAATTTCTAGACCCCAGTTTTCCAAGGCTTTCCAGGATGGATGTGTGCTGTCAGCTCCCCCTGCAGGTCTGAGACCTCTCTGCCAAGGAATTCTTGGAGGTCCTCTGTGAAAATGGATTCTGGAGAGACTTTAAATCGTGTCTCACAGATGGAACCTCTCCACTGCTTAGAAGTGACCCACCATTCTGCTGAGAGCCACATGTCCTGGGAAGGTACCTGGGTCTGATCCTGTAAATATATAAATGTCCCACAGGAAAACAAGGAGCCCACTGGCAGTCCATCAGGAGGCCAGGCCCCAGTTAGTGTATTCCCCGCGCAAAATGCACTTTTTAATATTTTCTCCTTGCTCTCATTTTTAAGCACCATGCCCTTTAGTGATTCATCACAGATAGAATTGCCTCTGTGAAAAGCACGTGCTCGTGGTGTGTTAAGCGCACAAGCTGTATAAGAAATTTTGGATTGTCCCAAGTTTTATATGCCAGTTGGCCGATTCACTCATTCATTTAATAAATATTGTGATAAGCATTGTGATATGCGATGGATATGTGACAGATCTTGTTTTAGGCACCTGGATAAAGAAAAGACCAAGGCAGACTAAGGTCCTAGCCTGATGGAGCTTAAGTATCAGTGTGGAAGACACGCGATAAACCAATGTACAATACATTTTATGTGGAGATAGTGCTATCGAGGAAAATAAAGGCTCGCAGAAGGCCGAGGGAGAGGCCATGGCGGCTTGCAGGGAGGTCATCGAGGTGGTAAGAAGTAGATAAATTCCGGACATGTTCTGAGGGCTGAGCCATAGGGCTCGCTGTGAATTGAATGGGGACGTGAGGGAAGGAAAGAGATCAGGTTTGAGTGCTGTGTTTTTGGCCTGGGCAGCTGGGCAATTAACTGAGATTGGTTCAAATGGGCGGGCGGAATCAGGAGCCCTGCTTGGACAAGCTGAGCTGAAGAAACCTATTAGTCATCCATCTGGAGATGTCAAGCAGGAGTCGGGTACACATGCTCGGTGCAGGGCGGTCTCGGGGAAACTACTGACGGAAGGAGGAGCACCATTCCGTCAGGTGTTGGGACAGCAGGTTGGAAGCCTGCTCCTCTCCTGGGCCCCCCCTTCTCATTTGTGAAAAATAGGGTTCACCGGTCTCTTGGGGTCCTTTCATGGAGGCAGGTACGATGCAGAACATTAGCATTTAAATTCACGGAGCAGCAGGAGCGGGCTGGGCTGCGGCGGTTGGGACTTAAAACCAGAAAGAGGTACAAGACCCGAAGACGATGAGCAGCTTATCTCAGGACGCGGAATTTGATGTGAGTCTTTGCCAAGCCACCTCAGGACTGCTTGTTCTGAAAGTGGGGTGTTGGGGAAGGAGGCCCTTCGGCAGCAGATGAACCTGCTCAAAGCAAAGCAGCCTGAGACGCGGTGGGGACAGGATCAGCGGGGAGGGGCGGTGAGGTGGCGCTGCTGTCAGTGCCCGTCCCTTCATCACCGTGGCCGCGAAGTACGGACACCGGTGTCCGCCAGGCGCAGTGCAATTCAAGAACAAAAATGTCCACAGGGGACTTTTTGTCCACTTTTTTTTTTCCTTTACTTTTTTTTGATACAATCCTAAATTGCCTAGATAAAATGTTGGTTTATTTTGTTTTGTCTCTCAGCGTTCTCGAGCAGTTTTTCGTGAAAGGCTGTTCGTATTTTGTCTTACAGCTTCACGAAGTGCTTTCGTGTCTCTTACCATCTCGATCGGTACAACAGCCCTGTGGGCTCGGAAGGTTATTATCTCATCCTGTTCTAGAGATGAAGAAGCTGAATCTTGGGAGGAGAAACTTGTTCGTGACCACGTAGACAATATATGGATGTAGCACTTTTTGAATCCAGGTTTCATGAATCCCTAATTCTTTCTTTCTTTTTTTTATATGTGAATTCACAATTCAGATGCATTTAAGGGTCACTGCATAGTCCATCTTTTAACAAATGCTCTTTATGGCTCAAAGCTAAAAAGGGCAGATTTTTAAGAAGCACCTTTTTGGCAAGTACATTTTCTTCTCTCGATCGAATGTTCCAAACTGAGAGGCTTGCGAAGGATTACCTGGCCAAATTCTTGGACACTGCTATGGCAGTTGATTATTTAGTGCTCTCCTTTTTAGACTGGAATATCATTTTACCTTGGTTGCATATTTGAAAGTTGCTAAGAGAGCAGATCTTAAACCTTCTGATCACAAGGAAAAAAACAAAACTGTGTATAATAATGGATGTTGACTAGACTTACCATGGTGAGCATTTTACTGTCTATACAAATGTCGAATCCTTATGTCATACATCTGAAACAAACATAATGTAATGTCAATTGGTTTAGTTTTTATTTTGCTTTAAAATGACCTTGGTTTAGTTTATTATTTTGCTTTAAGTCTTCCTTATACCATTAAAAGTAATGAGACCTGCGACACACTTCTGAAATAGTTTTTTTTTTTGAGGCAATTGAAATAGAGTCATTAGGCAATGTAACGAGTGTTGGGCTTTCTCTTCTACAATAATATTCATCCCAGAGAACAAGGAAAAAAGCTTCATTGCCTTTTGAAATTAGCCTCAGAAGTCACGCTCATCACTTTTGCATATGTTGCTGGTAACAGGCAAGGGAAGGGGACAGAGAACGGCCACTTGATGGAAGGATAACAGGGTCACGTTGTAGGAGAATAGTTGGGTGGAAGATATCGCTGCAACCACCTTTGGAAAATATTATCTGCCATTCTATGGAGACAGAGGCTATGTCACCTTTGGGTTTCACCAACAATAGCGAAGGGACATGCACATCGATGAAACGCCACTAAAGCATGGTTGGGAATAGAGCTTATGGCCCGTTACGGCTGGTTGGGTTTGAGTCAGTTCTCTCGGCCAGCCAACCAGCCAACCCAGGAACCAACCTGTCTAAAGCAACAAAAGCAGATACTGGGCTAAGAGCAGAGGCTACGACGGTTTATCAGAAGGTGCTGATCCTCACATTTCTCCCAGATCTGAAACTTGATTGTCCATAAAGGCAGCTGGGGTAGACGTTGAAAATACAGGCTCTTATCTGCCTTCCCCCATCCTGATTCAGTTTTCCGTTCCAGATGGAGCCCAGGAATCTGCACTGTAATAAGCCCTTTGGGTGCTTTGGGTACAACAGATCTGGGGAGGGCACTCTGAGACTCATTGCTCTAGCGGAACAAGCAGCTTGGTCCAGAGACTGAACTTGGATGCTTTTCACAAGTGCTTAGCTTTCGGTTTGTTAGGCTGCCCTCCTCTGAGTCTTACTATCTGTGGGAGGTTAGATTATTGTTGTGCTGATGGTTAATTTACGGCCTCTGAGTTTCAAGATCCTCCTTTTTGCCTGCTGGGTAGCAACAGATCTGGGCCCTTTAAACATTTTTTTCCTTTGCTGTTGGCACAATATTAAGACTTGTCATTGGAGGGCGCCAGAGAGACACTGCAGGAAGGCGCGGTTTTGCTTTCCAGTCCTGGTGTGCTTGCTGCAGCGTGAGCTTCTCCACTGCGCAGCTCCTGCAGCATGTGTGGCTTCTCCAGGGTCTGGCGTCTACAACGCACAGTGGCCAGCAGCACCTACTGGCCTGCAGCTTTCCCTGGCGATTCCCCACCTTGGGCAGCTTGTAGCAGAGAGCCTCTAGACAGAGACAGACACCTCCATGAATGGCTTTCCTCTGTAGCCAAGAGGGTGATTTCTTACAAGTTCCAGATTTCCAGCCAGTTCCACGGACACAGTGCCACAGCACGTCTATGCCATCCAGTGAGCCACCCTGCCCTGTCTGTCCAGTGGGATCTGGATCTCAGCCCTGGGCAGGGAGGGGTCTCTACTTCGGACTCCTTGCCTCAGTCCCAAGTGTCATGACTGGTCCTTTATCTCCTACTCCTTTATTCTTTAGAGTCTTCTTTACTTGTTCGTCCAGTGAGCCACCCTGCCCTGTCTCTCCAGTGGGATCTGGATCTCAGCCCTGGGACGGGAGGGGTCTCTACTTCGGACTCCTTGTCTCAGTCCCAAGTGTCATGACTGGTCCTTATACCTGTTACTCCTTTATTCTTTAGAGTCTTCTTTACTTGTTTTTAGCCCATCCTTGGTTACTCCAATCTCCTGTCACAGGTAATAATCCTTTATATTAAACTTCGCCTGTTCAAACGACTGTGTGGTTACCTCGTACAATTGTCCAACAAATATTTAGTCCCTTTGCCTTGATCTCCATGGTAAACAAATAACCTAATTCAAAATGGGCAAAAGACCTGAACGGACACCTCACCAAAGAAGATATAGGAACGGCAAATTAGCATGTGAAAAGATGCTCCACATCACATGTCATCATGGAAATGGGGATTAAAACAACGAGACATCTCTACTTGCCTATGGCAATGGCCAAAAGCCAGAACACGAACAACATGAAATTGGGGAAGTGTCAGGCAGGAGGAATTCTCCCTGCTCGCTGGTGGGAATGCAGAATGGTGCGACCACTTTGGAAGAGAGTTTGGCAGTTTCTCACAAAGCTAAATACAGGCTTAGCAGTGGAGCTCCTTGGTGTTTACTCAGAGGAGCGGAAAACTTACGTCCTCATGAAAACCTGTACATGAACGTTTATAGCAGTTTTATTCATAATTACGTAAACGCGATAGCAACCAAGATATCCTTCAACAGGAGACAGGATAAACACGCCGTAGTACAACCATACCATGGAATATCACTCAGCGATGAAAAGAAACAAGCTATCAAGCCGCAAAACGACACGGAAGAATCCTAAATGCAATACAAGCTTAATGCTTATACTGTCACATCTGCCAGTCTGCATACTGCATGACTCCAGCCATATGACATTCGGAGAAGGCAAAGCTATGGAGACACGAAAAGACCCGTGGTCCCCGGGGCGTGAGGGCAGGAAGTGGATAGGGCGGGAGGTGAATAGATAAAGCAAAGGGATCTTTAGGACGGTGAAACTACTCTGTAAAGTACTGTGACAGTTTGCCTTCGTCGGAACTCACAGAAGCGTATACCACGAAACCACAGAGAGCAGATCGTAATGTCATGTCCACTTCGGACTCAATAACGTATCAGCATCGATTCCTGAGCCGCAACAGAGACACCGGACGGGTGCGAGATGTCGACACGAGGAGAAACGATATGCAGGAGGGGGCGGGATCCAGGAACTTCGTACTCCGGGTCGTTTTTCTGTAAACCTAAAACTGCCGAAACAAAGGTCTGTTTTTTTAAAAGTCACTGAAAGTAAAGTTAAAGTTCATCAAACACTGATTTTAGGATTTTAAGCTCCCTCTCCCTACCATTCTGCCTAGTGTATCTGGTTATTTCTTTTCATAGTTAACAGCGGCACAAGGTGAAAAGAACGCACACTTCACATTCTGTCCAGAGCATTTTGCCGTTCTTTGCGGAGGTATTTGCATTTCACTCGATCGTATTCCACTTAGCTATTTAAAATGTCGGTGTGAGGAGTGGCGTCAGCGTTTTCATTCTGTAAGTCATGGTTTTAAGTAGGGTATTGCACATAATCGTCATGAGGAGGTGAGCCGGTGAGAAAATTAAATTCTCCCTTTTGGATCTGTCCACTCTGTGTACTGGTAATAGCTATTTCTAGAAGAAAGGTCTTGATACCACTGCCAAATGGTAGCCTCATAAACATATACGCCAAGCGAGCTGTTTTCCATGGGGCGACTCATCCAGCTGGCATCACTTTACACAGTGGACGACGGAAGATGCAGACGTCAAGCAGATAAGAGAATGCACGCGGCTGATCGCTTGCTCCGAGTCCCAAATTAGAAACACGAGCTTGTCCACAGAAGCTCCAACTAACTGGACAAACGAATCCTCAGATGCTCCTGGTGACCACTTGTTTAAAAAAACCTAAGTCATTTTTCATTGTCTCGGACGGCTCTGGAAAGTCGCCCGTTAGAAAAACAGAGGATAAAAATCAAGTGAAATATTTCCTAAGGCAGGATAGAAAGAACAAGTATAAAAAAGGACAAGAAATTCCACTGCTGAAAAATAGATGGAGATTCCTGATCGAGAAGGCACATTTTTAAGAAAAGTGGGCGGTGCCGTTTTATTTTTAAAATGAGATGCCGTGAATGACACGCACTTTACAGCATGCTTGCGGCACACCAACCTCTCCCCTGGTTTCATTTGATTTTTTTCTACCCTTATTTGACCTTTATCCCAATTTCCTTGACTCTTTTAAAAAATTACCGTGCTGCATATTTTCATAAGATGTTGGACGTACCATCTGACACAATGTGAACTGCAAGTCAGTCCAACTGCTGTATTTCAAAGCATTACTGATAACTTTCTAGATCTGCTGTGACAGACCCCAAATATCCCAAATCACATTCCTTAGTTGAATATCAAGATAAATATTCCAGATTCATGAAATCAAAATCTAAATAGTTGCCCCAGAATATGTATATATGTAAAATTCCATGTATTAAACGTCAGCCCTGGACAAAAACCAGGATATCTATAGCCCTCGTGAGACTTACGGCGTGAACTTCCACTACAGTTCCAGGGGTTCCCTGCCCAGCTGCAACAGCCTTATTAGTGAACTGCAAAACCACTCAGAAACCACCCTAGCGCGTACTCAGATCGCCTCTTTTTACCAGGTCTAATGACACTGTATGTATTCAAACCCGTACATACTGGTCAAAGGAAGAAAGAATTGATCGGTGGCAGAAAAAAAAACGGAACTAGGTAGTACTGTTGTCACAATTTGATAGTTAATATTTGCCACAGCTTCCGAAGAACTGTCCCAAAATGAAGACATTTTCTCGTGGCTACAGCATGAGCCTAAAAAATTCCAGATCGTCAAACCACATGGCCTGGCACGGGGGTCACCTTTGTTTCTAAAGGGTATCTGGGCCTGTGACTCATGCTGTCTCGGGGCCAAATCCTGGCTGCGTCGCTCTGGGCAGGCAGGTCACTCACCCTCTTAAGCCTCAGCTTTCTCTTTTCCAAAATGAGGATTATGAAACCTACCCGACAAGATAATGTGAAGATGCAACCATTTATATCTCTTACTCCAGTGAATGACACATGATAAAAGCTCAATAGGAGTTGTTATTATGAATAGGTAATAGCTATAATTAATAAAAATATAGTATGATTCATAAAAGCAGGTGGAGGTGTTGCTTGAAATCACTACGATTCACTGCCCAAACATGATATGACGTTTGCCCACCACCCAGCTTTCCTTCTACGCCCAATTAAATCTAGCAGCGCAACTGAGAATGATGATTCTTTAAAAGGATAGTAAATATGTTTTCAAAGTTAAATATAAAACGAGAGTCTGTCTACAGGCAACCACTCTGGCTCACTAGGACATTCTCTACTGAAGCTCTCATCAGAGGATCTGAAAAACTTTTGCAAAGTACTGAACACAATGTTCAGCACCGTCAGAGAGCTGATGAGTCCGGAGCAATAGATTTCTTGTTATAAATAGCAAGCCGGAGTCATGATCTTTTCTCTCATTCACCAGACTGTATGCGCAAGTAAGTAACCATATCGAAGATGAAAACAAATTTTAAAAGGTTTTTAACTGAGCGGCATTTCAACATTTCTTTTAAGTCTGATTTCTTCCACCACTAAAAAATTTTCTTTATCCTAATATTACCCTGAAATCAATCAGAGGTCGCTTAAGAAGTAGCCAAATGTAAAAATATTTTGCAAAGTGGGAAATCCATTCGATGAGTCAATTCCAAACGCTGTGAGTGTCAGATTGAGCCTGTCTCCCAGCGCTGGTTTCTCTCCACCCATATGGTTTGAGGTCGGCTCTTTGCCTTTATCCCCTGCTTGGCTTGGCCAGAATCCCGGTGCAAGTCCCATCATTTAAGAAGAGTATTTGAAGGTTTATTGATTGAAGTCCTCTTTGATTTTTTTTTCATTAGCACTTTGTAATTTTCAGGATATAAGTCCTGTATGTGTTTTGTTAACTGCATACCTAAGTATTTCATTTTCTTTGGAGTGAATTGTAAATGGTAGTATGGCTAAAGATTTCTTTAAAAGAGATCGAGTTCTTCATAACAATAAATAAAATGCACAGTAGGCAATTGTATAACCCAGAGAACACCTGGCATCAGTTTCCGACATCCCTCGTACGTCTTCCCAATCGACGACAGGCCCATGTCCTCACTTACTCCACGATATTTTCTGATTTTTGTCCAGGGCTGAAGTTTCATACATGGAATTTTACATCATCTTAGGACAGATTATCCCGCATAATGGAGACGATCTGTAACAACTTATATTGGAAGAATAAGATATCGCTGTCAATTAAAATATTTGTGGCCTTGTTAAAAAATGTTTGCTACTAATAAAATATATTAAAAAAAAACACTTTCTCGTTAAAGTATAATTGAAGCAATAAAATTTTTTCTATTTTGAACTTTATGAGTTCAAAAGTTCATTATTCTGATAGAAAATTTTATTTTGAATGTTTCCACTACGTAAGTAAAGACAGGTGGATAGGAATAAAACTAGGAAGAAATACAGATGATTCTTTACATGTCTCTGCATTTCCCAAATTTTCTGCTACCACCACATATTGTTCTTATAATTACAATAAAGTAATATTTTTTATGATCATGTTAAACCCCCTTATATTTACTTTGATCGAAGTGTCAGAGATGTGTTCTCGTGGAAGAGGCCCCACGGTTGTCACTTGCCTCCTGTTTCTTCTCACGCCAATGCTACCTGGCCCCTTTATGCTCCTCATTTATGCTGTGACACGATCCTGGGAAAGTATAAAATAGATCATTCTAGACAGGAGAAGTTATTAACCACATTGGTTTTACTCACAAGAACAGGCAAAGTTATGTTTCTCAAAGTTTTAATTTACATCCGTTCTATGTTATAATACACAGTGATCATATAGTTTTCCCCCTTTTTTGAGGAAAAATAAGTAGAGATCAAAAAAAGAAAAACGATGTTAGTTTAGCGACATGGTCATGACACATGTGTTGTGACGGGCTTACCTGGCTGGGAATATTCGTAACTCTGAATCAGTGATGCTGTCAATCGATCATGCTTCAGTTAAATGAGTTAGTTTTTGAGTTTGTATTTCATGTTCATTCCGTATTTGTCAACACTATTAATTGCTAAAATACTTTATTGATGACTATGCTGCTAGATAAATCAACTTAACTACTTTAGTAGCTAACTTCTGATTAGAGTCACTATAATTAACCTTTGACAATGAAACACTTCTTGATTAAATATTTTAAATAATGAATTATAATTGGTAAAGTTTAGTTACAATGCATTAACCTTTTGGGGGGTGAGGCTACTATAATAAGAGTTTATAGCAGCATTGTTTAATAGAAATTTTTGTGTGACAGAAATGTTCTCCATGTGGTCCAGTGTGGGAGCTACCAGCCACATGTGGCTACTGAGTACTTGAAATATAGCTACTGTGACTCAGGAATTAAATTTTATATTTTACTTGATTTTAAACTAATTACAATGTAGACCTAAATAGCCGCATGTGGCTAGTGGCTACTGCACTGGATGGTGAAGGTTTATAGAGTAAGGTTTAAAGCCAAAATAAAAGTCTATTCCTACTGCATACAAAGTTTTATCCTGTATGAATTGGAAATTCATGTTGCTTTAACTCCTACAGAGTCAGTAATTTATTAGTGGTCTAAAATGGCTTGAGTGTGATAACTAAGATGAGTGTTCATGCGTTTTGCTGTCAGACGTTCATTTCCTTGTAATTTCAGATGCTCCTTGACTTTTGATGGAGTTATGTCCTGATAAATCCATCATCAGTTGAAAATATATTAGGTCAAAACTGCACTTAACACACCAAACCTACCGAGCATCATAGCTCAGCCTGGCCGGCCTCTGCCGAACGCGTTCGCACTCCTGCCTTCACAAAGTCCAGTGCTCCTGAGCGGAACCACCCTGAGTCCGGGACCATCGGCATTTTAAAAGCTGGGAGCATGACTTCTCCCTAATAACTGAGGAAGGGACATTTTCCTTTTGAGAAGCCCAAAGTCGCACCGCCCATTCATTCTTCGGGGGAGTCTCCTTTGGCCATTTCCATCATGAAACTTGACCTCTCCATCCCACGCTTTGTCACTTCCATTCCAGGTATGGAAACAGCTTTTTCGGGGGGCTACTTAGTGTCATTATCTGGATGACAATGTTTGAAGCCCCAGGCTGCAGACTGGCAGCTGGAAGGGCATTGGTCCGCCCCCCGCCCCCCACCCCTGTGGCTCCCCATTTAGAGGGAGAACATCCTGGCTCAGCTCACCTTGACTCGGGGGGGGTGGCGGGGAAGGGGGTAGGTAGACCTGCTTTGATAGTCTTGTTCCTCAGAAGGAGCACAGTTTCCATGGAGATTTCCGAAGGCAGTCAGCTGAAGACTTTGCGTGTGACGAGGTCCGCCAAGTCTTCCCAGGTCTAGTAGATGGGGACGACCTGAGAATGGCTGGCCAGCAGGGCCGTGTGAGCACATGGGGACCGAAAGAAACCTGGGTGTGTTCAGAAGCCTCAACGCAGTGGAGAACCCGCCTCCCCCTGGCAGGGCTACAAGTAAAGACATGCTCTTGGGGACAGAACAGTTAAAGCAAAGAGTACAAATAAACTGCAAAACCAGCTCTGACCTATCCACCTCCCGGGCCTAATGTTACTTAGAAAATGGGCTTAACAGAGCTGAGGCACAGATAAAAACAGCCCTTAGGCTCTTTGACACTCGGGGGCAACAGTACTATGACTACATCAGGAAGTTAACAACTGTGTTACAATTTCTCACTTTCTTAAGGGAACAGAAAACCTGTGCATCACCCGCCACTTCCCTTGGAACTCCCCCGGCTGGCAGGCGTTTCTATCTCAACAGCAGTCTGTTCATGGAAGGCCTGGTGGCTATGGAGAGCTTGATCTGTCACCTTGGCGGGCACGCAGACAGTCAGCGTCCTTGAAAAGCAGCACTGTGCCTCCCACCGCGTAAGAAGACCCTATGCTGGATTGATGAAAGGTTCAAAGTCACAGCCTCGACTCAAACAAGTCAGATCAGCCTCGTTTCTATTTGATTTTTTCAACTTGTGAAATACTTACACAGTACTTACTATGTGCTAGGCCTTGTACATTAAAAATACTTTTAAAATAAGTACTTAAAACATTAACTTATTTAATCCTTATGTGTCTGATTACATTTTTGGACACCTAATAGCTGCATCTTTTTATGTTACCAATTCAGTCCCTATGGGATGCTAGAGCCAGACGGTGACCCCAAACTAAAACGAGCCCACGTGTGCTCCTAAGCAATGCCAAAGTATGCTGTGACATCTAATCAAAGTTTCAAAAAGCAAACGTCCTAGTCAATAACTTCGATATAATCCGTACGTTTTCTAAAATGGCTGAAGCAGAAAATGAACATCATCTTGTTTCCTTGCTGCTAGTCACTTCTCTCTTCGAGATCCCTCCATATCGGGAGGGAGAAAACTGAATTTACTCAATGCTTATTTTAAGTCAGATACCAAATTCTAATATCTGCCCCTGAAAACCCCACCCCCACCCCACATCCCACTGAACACTTTAATGGGTGATCAACCTGGTTCAGAGAGGTTTAAGTAAGGGACTGTCAGGCTTTTGCTAATAAGTGGAAGATCGGGATTCAAGCCCCACTAGTCCACCTCTTTGAGGGCGGGGCCTTACTGCTTGTGTTTGCATATCCAGAACTTATAAACGTGCATCATGTACTTGTTAAATAAATGAAGGAATGAGTGAACAGACTCCAATCTTCCCGATTCTACGTCTTTCACTAGATCTCCCTGCATCCGCCTTCATAAAGTACAGATCAGATCATCCCACAGACAGATAAATAATAACCACCACCTTTTATCCTGGAGGGATCGGAGAAGCCCGGATGCGCTGTCACAATGTTTTTCAAACCGCAGCTTGTGACTCACGAGGTCTTTGCATTTTTTTAAATAAGGAAATGAGATGGAATAAACGGGAGCGTGTACACAAGGCAGTGAGGTCAGCACTGCTTTGCGATGGCCCCGTGTACGCACCGGCCGATCGGAACGTGACTCCCTCGCCGCAGGTCCGCAGTCGGAGCTTCGCGAGCTGCCGCTCCCACATTCTGCGTCCCTCGCGTGCACCTCGACTTCTTTTCGCCTCGGCACACGTTCCCTCCTCTGGAATGCTCTTCCCCTTTCTCTGCCTGGAGACGTCTAGCTGTCCGTCAATTCCTAGCCTCCACGCATTAGTCACCCCACCCTCGCACCTTCCTCTGTGGGCACTTGGTCCGATTGCATGATCCTTATTTGTTTGCTGGTCCATCCTGATGCTACAGTCAAAGGCAGAGAATGTGCCAAATGTGTATTTGGGTTTCAAATGCCTATAACACAGCTGGGCCTGCAGACAGGACTGAAATGTTCACTCTTTTACAGACTCCTGCCTGCACTGACCTTTACTGAACGTAAATCTATGGCTTGATAGGTCTTGTCATTTCCAATCATTGTCATATTCAGCTTTTAAAAAGCGACATAATTCTTATACGACCAAAGCTTAAAAATAACAAAAAGTTTGAAGACAACTGACATCCACTGAGTGTGATTCTTAGGTTTGTTTTGAATGAGGTGAAGACCACATAACACGTTTGTGATGTCACATGCTCGTTTTTCCTCTCTCTCAACACCCCAATCAAGAATGCCCCCAGGAGATTTCAGAAAAGCCACACACTTTTCAGTGTAAAGAAACCATAATGCACCCCAAAGAGGCTTCTTAATCCCCAGAGGAATAAAGGACAAAAAGACTAGTAAAACTGATACTTTCACATTCAAATGCAATTTCTCTCTTTAGAAATAAATCGATGCTGGGTCAGGAGGGACACTTAAAGGAAACAAGCCCCACACACTGGTTGAACCTGCAGATAATCCTCCCCCAAGTTCTGCTTACATTCTTTATTTTTCCCTCACGACAGCTGCCTTTAGAACAAATTCTAGAAGAAACGTGCGGAGTAATTCAGTTACCAATCTGATGCAAAGTGGATGGTTTTCTTTCTGCCTACACAGCACTATGCTTCACGGCCGAAGCACTGCAGAAACGCTGGCCAGCGCGTGCCAGCCCTGAGCATGTCACCGCTTGGTTTACGGGCGCGGAGGTTCTGTGCTGGGACACGCTCGGCTTAGAGACCAGGGGGTTGCGTTCCTGGCCCCGAATTTCAGAGCAGTGTAAACAGTCGCAGTCGCCATGCTCCTAGACACCACTCCCAGGTTTTGAAATGACTGTAAGGTTTCGCGTCCTCTCCCTAGTTTCGGGCTGTACGTAGAGAACTAAGTACGTCGTGCTTTCCCCTCAGCAAAGAGAATGTAAGGTAACCGTGGGGACGAAGGAGACGTTAACCACCGCAGGAAGCCCTTGTCCTGGTTACAATGAAGGAGCATGGAGACGAGGGAGGCGAGTATTGCCAGTGAGGCTGGCTTGTGTTTATGTGGCTCAGACCATGTTGCAAAACACCGTCAGAATGCACATCCCTAAGAAACAGCCCCCTCTCCTCGTCATCGGCTTGGACTTAGGGTCACCTTGGACTCCGGAATCAACTTAGGATCGTGGACTATGAGAACTACAGAGAAATTTCACAATTAATCCACCGATGAGATGATTCGTCTAATGCCGCAGTGAGCTGGGACAGCTCCACGGGGCCACTGTGCACAGGAGGGCGTGCTGCGTGCAGCATCCCTCTCCATCCAAGCCCGCCCTCCGCTCTCTGTTCTGTCACACTGGGGCTGGGCTCTGCAAGCTGCACTGCCCACAGTCCCCATTGTCCCCTGCTGGCTGGGTGGGTTCTGATAAGGAGGCGATGGCAGGAGAAGGCAGGAGGAGGCCAGAGGGACTTTTTTCCTAGCTCCTGTCAGTGTCCCCACAGTAAGAGGACAGCGATGGCTCGGTTACAGATTCTTTGGTAGTCCCAGCACCAGCCATGCTGTGTCCTCGGAAGCACCAGCATCAGTGGCTGTAACCCCTGTTGTAGTGTGCATACCAGGGTGTCATGCCATCACAGGTGTGGGCACCCGCCACACAGCAGGTGTCTCCTCCCCCATCACAGGTCCAGGCACTGGTGTGGCATCTGCTTCAGGCACGTGGGGACCTCTCCTTGGAGCTCCCGGGCTGTGGTAATCCTGCTTTACCTGAGGAATGGTGGCTGTCTCCTGAATGACCAGTATCTGGTACCTCAAGTTCCTCTTGTTACTTCCGCCTTCTTGTGTCAACTTACCTGTCGTTATACCCGCCATGGCTTTCTTTCTGGACCCTGGCAGATACAGTACTTGGTATCAAGAGTGGATCTGTCTACCACCCTGGGTGCACGTCTTACTAGAACGTTTAAGGTCTTTGCTGCTTCCTGATCACCAGGTCCAACATCACGGACGAATGTCATGTTCTCAGGGGCATCGAGACACTCGAGGTCTCTGCAGACTAGATTACGGCGAGAACCGAAAACGTGACTTAGCTAGGGTATCCGCCGGTTACTTAACAGCTGTAATTTCTCTCTTCTCAAGTTGTTCCATTGAAACTTTAATATGTAAACATTTGTACCAATTCACTTTATCAATGGGTTCTGAACCTTTTGAAAATGCTATTCTCAGCATCTGCTTAAGAGTGAAGAAATCCGAGTAACTGTTAATTCTCCACTAGGTGGCAATCATTATAACTGTGTCAGGTCCCATCGCACTGGCAGCCAACAGCTGGATCCAGGAGCCTGGACAAGAGGCCTTGTAACTACCTCAAGTTCACGGCCTCCCTCCTGACAGGTGTGCTCTCAGCACAAAGGTGCTCTTCTTCACCAGGAGAGGGACGATCAGGCAGATGTGCTGTAATTTCTAACAAAATGCAAAATTGGTACACTTTTTTCCTAGTGTAAATTCATTTTGTGGGTTTGTGATTTTGAAAAGTTATGGTTCTTGTTTTTAAATTCTTGGGCCTCAGGTTGAATGAAATCAAGGTCACTCTTCTTATCAAGCAAAAACTTGAATGCTACAGAAACGCGGGAAACATAAGCCCATGTTAACAGTGGCCCCTGCCAGGCGGGAACCCCGAACAGCAGTCTGGGAACAGACGAACGCTCTCTCAGCTGCAGCGGCGCCAGGTGCAGGGCGGGGCCAGGTGCAGGGCGGGGCTGCGGCTCTGGAATCAGAGGAGAGGAAGGCAGCTCCGGGCAGGAGGCTGGGTAGGAGGCTGAGCGCGAGGCATGGGGATGGAGATGGGGAAGTGCAGTGTGTTTCAGGCACAGCGACCAGACCAACCTGGTTTGGCCCGGGGCTCGCAAGGCGAGTACCCAGGGCGGACAGCGAGGTGGGGGCAGCCCTGTCCGGTGTCCTGTAGCAGGAGTTGGGCCTCCGGCCTGGGGCTCAGTGACCTGACGGAAGCAGCAGTGTATGCACAGAGACAGGCGTGCTGCTCAGGACGCAGGGGACGGAGGCCTGCGGAGCTAGTTCCGGGGCCAGCGAGCAGTTGTGAAAAGATGACACCAGACACCAGAGGATGGAGTGACAGGAAATAGTCCTTTATGTAACATACACAGTTTACAGAGGACTTGCGTTCACGGGACCTCACTTTACCCTCGGGACAAGCCTGTGAAGCAGAACATCGGCACATCCCAGCAGCGAGGGGCTGCTGCTCCGGACCGGCGCTCGCCTTCCAC